GGAGCGGTGCAGGACGCGGCGCGGCGGAGGAAGTGGAAAATGGCTGCCGGGCGCGGGGGGGACGCGGAATGGTACGGGCCGCAGGGCCTGACACTGGATCTTGCGCGCGCCCCCTAGCGAGCCCGCCGGGGCACCGCGGGAGTGTCGGCGGCGAGAGGAGGGGGCTGGGGGGACCTCGGGGGGTCTAGGCCAGCCCCCTGCTAGGAGCAGGACCAGCGCCCACTAAGTCACCCCAGTCAGCGCGGCAAGGAGCTGTCTAATGCCCTCGCTCCGCCGCACTTCTGGAGCTGCTTCTGAGCTTACAGTTCCTGGCCCTGATCCTTCTGGTCCCAGCTCTGGGCCTCGAGCGCAGCCCCTGACCACGCCGTAGGACTTCGGCGGGCTCCCCCTGGCGCAGAGGACGGTAGCCGAGCCCAAGGCTTTTGTGCTGCAGGCAGACCACGGGGATGCACACTTGCTTTGTGGGATGGAGATCCTAATTTAAATTCTTCCTTTAAAATGCATGTCATCACCACCTTTTACTGCTCTGCTCATGCACATTTAATTTGGATATTAGGGAAAACTTTCTTCAGGGTGGTGAAGCACTGGGACGGGTCACCTAGAGAGGTGGTGGTGCCACCTCCATCCTTGGAGGATTTAAGGCCCAGCTCATCAAAGCCTTGGTTGGGATCATGAATGCCTCCTGCCTCCTGAGGCTGGTGGAGAGCATGGCCACTTCCCACAGGCAGCGGCATGGCAGCAGTGAGCTGGGACCGTCCGCAGGCGGACACAGCAGTGTCGGCGGCCAGGTGTGGGGGTGGTGAGTGCTGAGTTGCGACTGCCCACAGATGCCGCCAGCAGTGTCAGCAGCAGCCAATCTCGGGGTGTGCATGCACCCACGTAGACCTGCTGCACATTACCAATGGCTGGGATAATGTAGTTGGGGACAGTCATGCTCTAAGCAGGGATTTAGACTAGATGACCTCCTGAGGTCCCTTCCAATCCTAATTTTCTAGGATTCAGGACTGTATCGCATCGAAATAAAAGGCTTTTTAGGTAAAGACCAGGTCATTTCCGGGTGGGCCCTGTCATGGGATCCCTTGGGGTGGAACCGTGTGCCGGGATGAAGTCAGTGAGGTGTGAGCAAGTCTGAGGTACACAGGAGCAGGAGCCTACAGTGCCCCTACATGAGGCCCCAGCCTCACAACTGTACCCACTTGGGAGCTGGTGGATGTCTTGCTCCCTACGGGTTTCACCTGGAAAGATTCAGTCGGTAGGCCAGGACCTACAGCTGTAAAACAAGGAGGGAGGAGGGGTGTCAGTTGGATTTTGTATATTTATCTATGAAATGCAAAACTCTAGAACTCTTGGCTCAGAGATACTTTTTATTAGACCAACTAAGAAATTGCAAAAAGCCAAAAAAAAATCTTTTTTCTGCAAGCTGTTGGGCACACATGTCCTTCCTCAGGCTCAGGGAAAATTAATGATGGTAAAAAGTCCCCATAGGTAGAAAATAAACTTCACTTTTGCACAGAGGAAATGGAAGGTGGAAGTCTGTTCCTCTGAGTGTCTTTTGAGTTGCTCTTTGATGTGCAGCTCAGGCAGGATTCCTTCCCTGGTGCTGCCAGATGGCAGGCAGGGAGCTGTAGAAATCTTTCTTGTTGTTTAGCAATGAACCTTACATCCAAAATTAGCTAAAATTCAGCATCTTCCATGTTTCAGGGATGTATTTGGTAGCTGCGTTGGTCTGAGACAAAAAGAAATGCAAAACTCTAGAACTGTTGGTTGAGAGGTGATACCTTTTATTAGACCAACTACGAAATCGCAACAAAATTATCTTTCTCTGCAAGCTTTTAGGCGCGCACAGCCTTCCTCAGGCATATTTATCTGTGACATTCACATTACATTGTTCCTGCATCCTATTTGTAATGTGTTGGGCCCCTGAGATAAGAAGAGACACAACACTGGACAAAAGGGGAAGAAGGTTGAGGGGAGTCTCCTCCATCTGCCAAGAAACATGGAAGCAATATTTGCTAGAAAAACGTCCATGAGAGAAGCGCAGGCTGTTCTGAAGGGAACACTTAACAAGGTTAGGCTCCTGGATGGATGTGCATGTCTGCTGCCCCAACAAATGACTTTTGTAACAGCGCTCCTAGGATGGAAAACAGTGACTTAAAAACACTCTGGGACTAGCAGTGTCGTTGTTGTGATTTTGCCGCTTCAGTCTGCGATTCCAGGGCTCCATCCTGGGCCAGAGAGGGGTGACCTAATAGGAAGCCACCGGAGAAACGCGACACCAGATGATCTCCCTGCTTTTTAAAAAAAACACTTTTCTTCCTGACTGCAGGACTTTCCTACGTTAAAGCCAGCGGGGGGTGTGAGCTCGGCCTGCGGCGGGGCGGCCAGGTGAGCGGGGATCCGATCCGGCAGTGCGCGCAGGGAAGGGGGGGCTCACACAATCGGGCTGGGGCGTGTTGGGGATCCCGGCGTGGGAGCGGGGGCGCTGCCCGTGTGCGGACCTGGGGTCTCGTGGTCGGGCTGGCGTCCGGCTCAGGCTGCGGCGCGGGGCTCCCAGGCGGCAGGGGGCGCTGCGGGCTGCTCCCGCAGTCAGTGCCCGCGGCCGGGGAGGCGGGAAGCGAGGCGCGCGG